AAACTGGCTTGAGTATTTGCTACAAAATGTTGAGACACAAGCTGGGGCTTGCTTTTTGTGACAGCATTGCATTACAATGTATGCTACTTAGCACCAAATTAGTCTTTTAATCAGCATATAATGTGAATTATATATTTGGAAAAAAATTCTGTTGAATCAGTGAAGAACAAGTACCTACTGGATTTAAGATCCAAATTATTTGCACCTATGAAAGAAATGATTCACATATTGAATGAATACTCAATCATGTTGAAAAGGGCCAACTGTCTGTAAGTAGTACAACAGTACAGAGTGAGAGTAAGTGACTGATGTCTGTAATTCTTTGTACAGGGTTTCCTCCTTGTTGAAAGTCACTGGCTTCTAGAAGTTGGAATGGCACAGCAGTGTTTTATTATAAAATTAAATTTTAAAAATTAACTCTGAGGGGAATTGGAAGGCGATGATACAGTTGGAGCAAAGCTGGAAATTAATTGTAGTTATTTAGTAGGTGACAACTGAATACGGTTCCCTCCTGGACTAAAAATGCATTAAAACACTAAAACGTGGTCTCTGCTCTACCCTTCCATGCAGCTTTGATCATTTGAGAAACTGGGAAGTTATGTATTGGGGAATTATAAGTTGCCCTAATGAAAGATTTCTTAGCATTCCCTTTATAGTACAAATTCCTTTTAGAAAATCACTTTTTCCCATCTGCTACCCTGCAAACATGTTGCTCATACATAGATACTACAGAGTCAGAGTTTTACAGCACAGAAACAGACCCTTTGGTCCAACTTGTCCATGCCGACCAGATATCCTAAACTGATCTAGTCCCATTTGCCAGTATTTGGCCCATAAGCCTTTAAACCCTTTCTATTCATGTACCCATCCAGAGGCCTTTTAAATGTTGTTGTAATTGTACCAGCTTCCACCACTTCCCCTCACAGCTTGTTCCACACACGTACCACCCTCTGTGTGAAAAAGTTACACCTCAGGTCCCTTTTTAAAATCTTTCCCCTCTTGCCTTAAACCAGTGCCCTTTTAGTTTTAGACTCCCCTACCGTAAGGAAAAAACCTTAGTTATTCACCCCATCCGTGCTCCTCATGATTTTATAAAGCTCCATAATATCACTCCTCAGCCTCTGACAGGGGAAAATGCCCCTGCCTGTTAAGCCTCTCCCTATACTTCAAGCCCTCCAATCCCAGTAACATCCTTGTAAATATTTTCTGAACCCTTTCAAGTTCAACAACATCTTTGCTATAGCAGGGAGACCAGAATTAAATGCAGTATTCTAAAAGTGGCCTAACCAAAGTCCTGTACAGCCACAACATGATATCCCAATTCCTATACTCAATGTTCTGACCAATGAAGGCAGGTATGCCAAATGCTTTCTTCACTACCCTGTCTACCTGCAACTCTGCTTTCAAAGAACTGTGCACCTGCAGTACTGGATTCTTTTGTTCGGCAATGCTCCCCAGTGCCGTACTATTAAGTGTATAAGTCCTGCCCTGGTTTGCCTTTCCAAAATGCAACACCTCACATTTATCTAAATTAAACTCCATCTGCCACTCCTTGGTACGTTGGCCCATCTGATCAAGGTCCCATTGTACTCTGAGATAACATTCTTCATTGTCCATTCCACCATCAATTTTGGTGTCATACGCAAGCTTACTAACCATACTTTATATATTCACATTCATGTAACTATCAAAAAGCATAACTGACATTAGTGTGCTTTTGTGTTAAGGAACAATGTTATGTTACGTTAGATCAATGGTTCTTACTACAGAACAGAAATTTATCATATACTGCTCTATCTTGTGGTCAACAATCTTAATTTCAAGCCTTTAATGGGTTTAAGTGTTTGTTAGCTGAATTTGGCACAACTGACTAGAACCATCTAATCCCTGAGATTGAATTGTCTTGAAGTCCCATCTGGAACGCTTTCCAGTAATTTACTATTTATATAATTTTTTTTAAACCACCACAAGATGCTATGCTACGATCACCGTGGGACAGGCCGATTCTAAAGTTGTTAGTATGGATGGCTTCTAGAAGACTGTTGGCAGAACATCCTAGGCATGAATTAGTCAAATAGAGCCCATATTCCTGAGAACCTGATTGCAACCAAGATTTTATATATTTGACTTTGGTAGGGTGGGGGTGTGAAAGGCTATGTCCTGAGGTTACAAATTAATTTCAAGTGGCAAGCAATTTTATTTGACTAATTATGAATATGCACTTCTAGATTCCAGTCTGCATTTGGTCTGTTTTGACTGCCTTACACCTTCAGAGTCATTAGCTAACTTGAATGTATGTGCTTGTAAAGTGTTTCACAGTATGCTGTGGCAGCATATTTCAATGTTTGGTTAAGAACCCATTTTAATTAATTGAATATTTTGGAGCCTTAAACAATTTGGCAACAGTTGAAAATGCGTCCTGAAGTAATTTTGCCAATATCTGTGACTAGGCAATTGCAACATCTTGGAGGTTGGCACCTGACAATATTGATTGGCGAAATAATTCAGAAATGACTGCATGTTTGAAAGTTATCTGTGTAAGTCTTCAGACCATTAAATTTATTGATTTCCTATGCATTAAATTAAATGCCATAAATGCAACCAAAATAAATCATTATTAGTCTTGAGGGATATTTTGATTAGATCCCTTGATAATTTTCCAGTATATGATATTTTCAGTGACTTATTCCTGAAACTGAAGCATACTTAAACGTTTTGAGGTAATATCATGGGTCAATATTGGAACACAATACTGCCACTTTTCCTTTGCCTCTCAAACCCTCTGCGTGAGCTCTAGTTTTATGCCCACTGCAGTTGGAGTTGTGGATGAACCTGAACTTTTCTGTAGTTGTTGTCACAAAAGGAATTTGTTTCGGTCCTCTCAGTATTGCCTGATTACATTGGCACCACCCTCAGATGCTTGCTGAGACACAATCCATTAAGAGGTTCGAGTGTTGGTGTCCTGGGAGCAAATTGGCCGTGGGGCATGAAGCAAAGGCCTAGGAGTGATGTTAAGTGACCACTTTTATGTGGCAACAAGGTGCAGGGCTGGA